AAAATTCGCCCGGTTGACATTGACAAGCGACATGCGCTGGCCACAAACCATGCAAACGCCGTCAAGCGCAACATGAACAGCAACGATGAGATGGCCGTCCGTGTCCATGGCGTTGCCAACGCAACACCACTGCAACGGACCTACGTCGGCTGCACTGTCTGAAGTGAAAGAAGGCGAGGCGCGATATCCGATATGCAATTCAGCATGCAACTGACGTAACCATGTTGTCACTTGCATGCGATATTCACGTAGCATGCTAGCATGCAATGGACTGAAAGGACATAAGGCCAAAACAAATAATGACCTTGTTTCCGGTCGCCCGACCGGGCCACTTTTTCCCAAATTCTGAAACTTTTTTTGGTCCCAAATGTATACAAACGGTGGCAATGCCATGTGTGCAAGTGCACTCAACGAGTCATAACTCCGTCAAATCTCAACCACAATCGAAACACCTACAAGGTAGCAGAGATTCTCAGCTGTCGGCTCAAAAACCTATGGGGTCGATACGAGCTACTCAGCTAGAATAACGGAGCTGGAAAGACTCGAACTGTTTTCTTGATTTCTCAGGATGTACGAAAACAGGAATACACCACATGCTGTACAAGAACAGTGAGTCAGTCAACTTTGACATTGATCCTTGCCATGATATACATGTATGTACAATGTACATGTGTAGGTGCTCTTGTCCATCAATACCACAAAGATTGAGGAACCAAAAAAAGTATTCAAAAAAAGTTTCATTCCGGCCGACCGAGTCTCCTTTTTGAGGGGTTGCCGACCGGAAACAAGCCTATTTTTTTGTTTTGGCCTAACCATGATAACCAGTACCTGCTTGCTACAAGTACAAGGCTTTGGCGGGAAATGATTGAAAAAAGTCTGTTTCAAAGCAGTGAAATTGAACAATGCACAGGTTATTGCTGGCAAATCCTGCTTCTCTTCTTTACCCACATGGCCACAAACTCTTCGTCAAAAGAGGTCAGTATCAGAGCTTGAAATTTGAAGTGCATGCCTCATTCATTAGGGCCGTTGGGTGTTTACATTCAGCACACACTCACTTGCAGATCTCACCAGCTGCCAACACGTTGGCGCTACACTAGCGCATAAAATAGTTGCCAAGCATCACTAAGGCTGCATTGTACGAGAATGGTGCGCCCAAAACCTAGGCTGCCAAGGGCACTCGCGCCCAGGGCCAGGAATTTCTGAACTGCGACAAGAAAATCATTTCTCGAATTCTGGAGCTGTGGCAAGGGTTCTGGGAGCAGAGCAGAAATGGGTCTGTTGAATCCGCCTTATTTATTTATTTCTGCACCTCGTGGCATGTCAAGACAGCAGAATTGAGGAGAGGGTGAGACCAACCACGGAAGAAGAGAAAAAAGAAAATGAAGAGCACGCACACAAAGTGGGAAGGGATTAGCAACTTACAAAGCAATGGGATGCTCAGCGAGCTATGCAGCGGAAGTGGTGACTGTGATTTTGTTTACTGGGGAGGTGGCTTGACCAGATCCGAATCCAGGCAAACTGAATCTGGATTTGTACAATCGAACACATGCAAACTTGGGCGAATCAGGATCATGGCGGGACCCACGGATTCACACAGTCAAATATTCCCGAAGGCTGTTTCTTATCATCTCTATCCAGTGTGCTTTAAAAGTGAGTATCGGCGTGTTGAAAGCACAAAAGGTGAAGTTATAGACCGATCCAACTCAAGTGGAGCCTATAAACTACACCATGTAGTGAGACCCAATGAGTTGAATCATGTGGTGGTGTTCGTTTGCACAACAACACCATCTTTTTTAACTTAAACAATTAAACAAAAGGAAGCTTGCATTGGTGGAAGGCCCAGGCTGTGAATCGACTTGACCCGATCAGATCCTTGGCAAGCTTCCATGATAGCAGAGCAACACAGGTGTGATAGAGGCTTTGGCCGTGGGCTGGGATTGACCACATCCAACACACTCCACATGACCAAGCAAACTGGCACAGTGCAACAAATTTGACTGTGAAAGCCACTCGAAGGGAACTCTCAGATTCAAAAGCATGCTGACATCTGGCGGTGCGAGGACCTTCCCTGGTGCGTTGCGCTGCGATATTATGACATTTTCAGTGGCCGGGAACACCGAAACATTGATGCTGTCAGGCTATTCTGCCTTCCCCCGTACGGCCGTGCGTTGCACTGCGATGGTTCATCTATGGCATTTTCAGTGGCCGAAGACAACGAAACAGTGATGCTGGCAGGCTTTTCTAGTCGAGCATGGCCATTTCCCACCTTTCCTGTGATCTTCATTCGGCGGTATGGAAGCAAGGAGCTAGATATGCACCCCTCCTTACCAACACGCTCCTGGTGACTGCTACTTCCACACTGCTCCAAAGTTCGCAGAGTTTCCTCCAAAACTACCGAATCGCGACTGCATACCACCTTCCGTAGGAAGACCAATAGTTCCGCATAGTCCGCATCACCTGCGTGTGTTCTACTTTCTCCGGTAGTGATAACGAACTCCAGGCTAATTTCTGAACGATGTGATCCCTGGAGTTCGTATACCATGGTATACGAGCGGAAAACGGTTTCTCGTATCTTCTGCGATTCTCTCAATATTCCAACGCAATCTTTCTGATCTTGTGCTGGTATCAGTAGATCTACTTCACCTACATCTACATGTACATGTAAATCTTGGATTATACATGCCGATATCTCCCACGTGACTTGTACTAAACGGATCTCTGGGGGGGGGGGGGCACAGAGCGTTTTGGCCAACAGTAACGAAACAATAGTCCTGGAGTTTTCCTTACTCTGGTCCTTCGTCTTCGGTCATTCTGATCTTTTGGCATTTCGCATATCAAACCTATAGCCTAAATTATAAATTTTTGTACATGATGCAGGGAGTCATGTGTAAAACGACTGCCTTCTGACTCTAGATTCAGGCTAGAGCCGATCAGTAGAGTTAGAGGCAAGACTACAAGTCTACAGCCTAGACTAGAGGAAAATAGAACTAACTTTAGTGCAATAATAATATATTATACATTCATGTACATACCGCGTACCGGTGCATGTGCATGTACGATCATGTAGATCTACATTGTGTAACCGCTTCAAAGTGAGCACTTGATGACAATGATTGTGACGTTTGTAGAAGTCAGCTGGAAGTTTTCTCCAGACTCAGTGTTTATACAAATCAACTGTGAACTATACCATCCCTGTATACAAATGTAGCGTGGCCCAAGTGGTTGGGCACACAACAACCAACAAGTCTCACCAGAGCAAGGAGAAGTGGTTGAAGAAATGAAGGATGATCTTTCTTCAGAGACAGAGCTTTTTATATGTGCCAAGACTAAGAGAGTTCAGGTTTCACATAACAACGAGCAACGGTTTAGACCAATCAGGAGATAGAGAGATGGCACAGATTCGGCCAATCAGAAGACATGTATTGGAAGAAAGTCAAGAAAAAAGGAGAGCTTCTGAAAAAGGTAGGTTCGAACTTCATATGCAAAGGATACTAGTCTTATTACTGTACAGGTTTTAACACACCAAGCTACAGTGACACAGGCACTAGACTACAATGCAACCGGTACAAGGTTGAAGAATCTGCATGCTCTACATGGCCCCCTCCCAGATTGAATCACGTCCTCGTGATAATGTGAATATTGTAAAAATAAAAATGAAACGAAAGAACCCAAGGAAGAAGCTATATAAACTGTGTGTTAAATGCCAACCCAACACTATATCTAAAAAAAAAACTCAAATCTCAATCTCTCAAATCTTCACAAGAAAATTGTACATATCAATTGTTCTTGGCTCTCATTGACGGTATCGCACCGGCCTCTGGAGATTTGCCCGATTGCGTAAGTTATACCCACCTGCCTGTGGCATGATCGGAACGGCCGGCACAACGGGAGCTGCCGGAACAGCCGGGACTGGAACAGCCGGAACTGGAACAGCTGGAACTGCCGGAACTGGAATAACCGGAACTGCCGGAACCGGAACAGGCGGAACTGGAATAGCCGGAACTGCGTCTTGCACGTAATCAATTAGCGCCGGTTGAGGTAGGTGTGCTGGCACTGGAGCGTGCTGCTCCTCCGGTACTTGAGTCGTTGACTTGAGCCGGTTGATGTGCACCACCTGGAGTTTCCCTGTATCACAGTGCTCAATCCTGTACACCACGTCATCGATCACCTCGACAACTCGATACGGCCCGGTCCATGGCTTGAGGAACTTCTTTGTGTTGCCTGCTTTCACCGCTGGGTTGTGTAAGCGCACCTTGTCATTGATCGCAAACCGTGGCTTGGTCGTCTTTGCATCATAGTAGTCCTTCTGACGTTTCTGTGCTTTAGCGCCAGCTGATCGAGCGTGAGAAAATGCCTGCTGCAAGGAGATCTCGAGACCAATCATATAGTCAGGTACAGATTTGACATGTTCTCTGGAGTCGTTAAACATAATATCCACTGGCAACTTAAGCTCTCTGCCGAACATCAATCTAGCTGGGGTTTCCTTGGTTGAACTATGTACGCTACTACGATACGCCAGTAAACAGCGTTGAATATGCAGGTCCCAGTCATTGTGATTGGCATTGACTCTGGCACTCAGCATGTTCTCAAGTGTACGATTCATCCGTTCAACTAAACCATCACTAGAAGGATGATATGGAGTCGTGCGTGTCTTCTTCATATCTAACAGTTCACAGATGGATTTGAACAAATTTGACTCAAATTGCGCACCTTGATCAGTGTGGATAGACAGTGGCACACCGTAGCGACAAATGAAACCATCAATCAGTGCCGAAGCTATTGTCCTAGCAGTCATATCCGGGATGGCAAACGCTTCTACCCACTTCGTGAAATAATCAGTAATCACAACAATGTAGAGGTTACCTCGATTTGTTCTGGGCAGTGGTCCCATGATGTCCATAGCGACACGTTGCAGTGGAAAGGATGGTTGGTCCACCTTCATCGGAGCGCGAGCGGTTGGTGCTGGGGTACGCCTAGCTGAACAAAGCGCACACGCCTTG